GTGGATCATCAAACAAATTGATTCAAAGTTTTCACGCGAGACACAAGTGACTAGTTTCAAGTTTCAAGTTTATTAGATTTCTATACCGCCCTTCTCCCGAAGGACTCAGGGACTCAGGACTCAGGACTCAGTACAGCCATATTAAAATACATAAATTTATAATATTTAAAACCAAATTAAAATCAATATATAAAATTGGCCCGCAAATTTAAAACACACATACACCCACAATAAAATTCATATTAGGCCAGTCCGGCTTGCTGGAACAGGAGGGTCTTAAGGGCGCGGCGAAAAGTACGTAGGTCGGGGCTAAGACGGAGCTCTAGGGGCAGCTCATTCCAGAGGGCTGGTGCCCCCACAGAGGAGGCTCTCCCCCTGGGTGTCGCCAGTCGACTAGGCTCAAATTCTCCTACTTTGGACACATTAGAGATAATTCTCGACCTGCAACAGTTCATTTAGTGACCGTTCAAAGTTACAATGGCAGTGAAAAAATGTGACTTATGACAATGACAGTCTTCACACTTATGACCATTGCAGCATCCCCAGGGTCACATAGACTTACATTCAGATGTTTGACAACTGGTTCATATTTATGACGGTTGTTGCAGTGTCCCGGAGTCGTGTGATTCCCCTTTTGCGATCTTCTGACAAGCAAAGTCAATGGGGAAGCCAGATTCACTTAACAACCATGTTACTAATTTAACAACTGCAGTGATTCACTTAACAAATGTGGCAAAAAAAAAGTCATAAAGTGGGACAAATTACTATTTACTAAATGAATATGCCATCTAACTCTCAGTAATTCTGGGCAATTTGAAAATGGTTATAAAGCATTAAAACATCTTTGAAACATCAGTAGGGTGGGGCCCGTTCAAATCTTGGGGGAAACTTCAACCCCCCCCCATTACAATTCTTCTTTTCCTGAGTTACCGGCCTGTCATAATGAAATTGTGCACCAAGAGATTAATTTTTTTAATATAAAAAAATCTACTTATCCTGACTACGTGGCTCAGTGGCTAAGATGCTGAGCTTGTCGATCAGAAAGGTAGGCAGTTTGGCAGTTCGAATCCCTAGTACAGATTTCCTGTGTGAGCAGGGAGTTGGACTAGATGACCTCCCAGCTCCTTTCCAACTCTGTTACTGTTATTTGGTGAAAAAAGTAGATAGTCTGGAGTGTTATAGCCACAGTGACTGTAGATCCTTTATTTTTTAAAACAAAACTTTTATCTCTTTATTATGGTCATTTAACTTTTACCATACAAATGGTGTTACTAACTAGTCCGATGCATTAATCTTTGTTAATACATGCTTCTGATAACGTCATAGTTTTTCATGTTTTTAGATATTTTTTAATTAAAATATGCATTTTTATAATGTTTTTCTTGGTTTTGCTTTTGAGTTTTGTCTTTGTATAAAGCCAAGATAAGCAATTCGTTTTAATCTTTATGAAGCTCTTCTGGATTTGTCCTTTCGTCAGGTTGGTTTTTTTTGCCCCAAGAAAATATGTCACCATGGTTACAGGCAGGGGTGGGCTTCAAAAATTTTAGCAAGGGGTTCTCTGCCCGGTTGCTGGGTGGGCATGGCCATGGTGGCTGTGGCCTAGTTGTCCTGCACCATGGCGGGGGGGGGGGTCGTTTTTGCCCGCCCTGGGCTCTGGAGGCTTTCCTCGAACCTCTCGGAGGGCGAAAATGGCCTCCCCAGGCTCTGGAGGCCCTCTGGAGGCCGGAAACAGGCCCGTTTCTAGCCTTCCCGAACTTCCAGCAGCCTAGTTTTTTGCCCTCCCTGAGCCTCCGCACGCGCCCTGCACTTACCTGCATTCAAAATGGGCCGTGTGGGGACTCCTGGGAGGGGAGGGGAGGGGAGGGGTGGGCAGGGCCAGCCAGGAGTGGGATTTGTGGATTCTCCGAACTGCACAGAATCTTAGCTAGAGGTTCTCCCAAACCCCTGCGAACCCCCAGAAACCCACTCCTGGTTACAGGTAATCCTTGATATGAATAACAATAATAGAGCCTTCCATGATGGCTAGTTGGTCATGATGGTTGTTTTTATGACTTCGTTTGTGGTCATTGTTAAGTGAACGCAGTATTCGTAATGCGACCACTTTAGTTGCAAAACGGATGCTAGAGTTCTAAAACGAATCCATGATTTGCAATGGGCAATGGTGGTTTCACAACCAGACGTTAAGGGCCGCTTTTTGGCAAAACCGTGACAAAATGCAGTCAAATGAACCATGGGACACTGCAAATGGTCATAAATGTGGCTGTGTCACCAAAAGTGCCTAGAGTGTGGTCATGTGACCACAGAAGAGGCCTGACCATTGAAACTTTGGAACAGGGTTTTTAAATCATTTTTCTTTTTATTTCTTTTATATTGTGTGTTTATGTCCTTGTAAGACGCTTTGAGTCGCCATGTGCGAGTAGGCGGCAATATAAATTTTCTAAATAAATAAAATAATAAAATAATAAATAAATAAATAATATAAAATAATAAAATAAAATAAAATAATAAAATAAAATAAAATAATAAAACAACAAAACAAAACAAAACAAAACAAAAGAAGAAAAGAAAAGAAAAGAAAAAAGAGAAAAGAAAAGAAAAGAAAAAAGAAAGAAAAGAAAAGAAAAGAAAAGAAAACAAAAGAAAAGAAAAGAAAAGAAAAGAAAAGAAAAGAAAAGAAAAAAAATAAGGGTCTCCTTGCTGGTATGTTGGCTTTTACCCTGACCTTCTGTTAGGTCTAATAATGCAAAATCCTGGCTAATAATGTTTACTATTTCATTGTAATGAAAAACAGTGGGATCCCAAAGAGCCTTAATAGCATATAGTGCCTGCCAAATGATACCAGATGTTTATGCAATAAAATATTTCCCACGCTCAAATAGTTGTTCAAATTACTTCAGGTAATTATTAGGGAGACCCCGTGGAGCAACCCTATTATCCCTGTGGTTTAATAGAGAATAGATTTAAAGGTCTAAAATATTTTCTTTTTTTTTTTTCTTTTTTCTTTTGGGTGGAGTGATTAACATTGGACAAAACTGCAGGAGACTTTGAATTAGATGTCTTATTCCTAGCAGTCATCTCTGTTCCTATAGGCTGGTATCATCCTTTTTTTATTTTATTTTTTTATTTTTAAGATTGGAGAGAGCTCTTAAAGGAAATTGCAATTCGAAGCCAAACCCTTTTTAAAAAAAGAAATGTAAGACAGTTTACAGTGTTCATAGTTCTTCCTGTGTGAATCTTGAATCTTATTATGGGAGAATCGAAATACTACTGAAACTCCTGTCTGAGAATGAAGGTTTGTTCTCCCAGCTTGTGGGTTGGTTTCTGAATGTTTTGTTACCAGGCTAAGTAACTGTCAGGGTTCCGACAGATGCCCTAATTAAACCATGACCCTCGAGCCAAGCTTCAAAAGAAATCCAGTTATTTATTAAGAGCAACATGTCGGCAGGTACCCAAGTGAAGCCAGCTCTGCCCCACGTAATTTACGGCCCAATTATGACCCTGTTTCACCACTCCTCCCAGGGTGTGTCCTAAATCACATTCTCCAATTGAGCAATTTCGCGGGCTGTAGAGATTACGCCCCTCCGGCTGCTGCAGGTAACCTGGGAAACAGCCTTGAGAAAGGTATGCGTGGAATGTGCTTCTGGTTGTGGCTGCTGTGCTGCTCCGTCAGTTTCCCCCCCCCCCTCCTGCCTATGGCAACTCGAGAGCAGGCCAAGGATGCTTTGCAAGTTGACAGCCAAGTTTAGGAGATGTCTTCAGCCGAGTTTAGGAGATGTCAGTGTTCTTCTGTTTATAAGGGCTTCAGGTGTGGGTGTGTCAAGTGAGGGTCTTGTGATGGGTCAGCTGTGAGCCATCAGTGAGTCTTGTGATGGGATTTGTCATGGGTCTTGTGATAAGGAGATTACATCAGATCAGAGTCATTGGGAGGTGAACCGGATGTGGGGGTTTGCGTGGATTGGTTGAGGGTCGCTGCTGTCTCTGGTTGGCTGCGTGGTTGATTTGGATTCTGAGGAGTTTGTAGGCTGGTTGTACAGTAGTGGCCAAAATTGTGGAAACCTTTTGGGAAAAGTGTATTTTTGAAGTTTGATGGCTAATAACACCACTTTTTTTTGGTATTTCAAGATAATCATATTCCACTGCTAGAATGGCCTGGGAATAGCCCAAACCTTAACCCAATTGAAAATCTACAGAGCCGACTAAAGAAACTTGTTAGTCAGAAGCGACCCAGCAATAAATCACAGTTAATAGAAGCAATCATTCAATCTCAGTTTCACATTATAACAGCTGCAGAACTAAAAGACTTGGTTCACTCCATGGGAAGACGTTGTAAGGCTGTAATTCATGCTAAAGGTTACCCAACTAAGTATTATTTTATTTTTTTATTTAATTTTATTAAATTTATATACCGCCCTACTCCCGAAGGACTCAGGGCGGTGAACAGCCAAAAAGATAAAACACACAGATTATAAAATTTAAAACAGTATAAAAACGTATTAAACAATTTGGCCTGAGACGAATTAAAACATCCCCATATTTAAAAACAGATTTAAAATTACTCATATACCGTTTAAAAGGGAAAGTTAGGCCAGGCCAGCCTGTTGGAATAAAAAGGTCTTGAGGGCGTGGCGGAAGGTGCGTAAATCCGGGATCCTCCGTATCTCCAGGGGGAGCTCATTCTAGATAACAGGTGCCTCCACAGAGAAGGCTCTCCCCCTGGGGGCCGCCAGCCGACACTGTTTGGCCGACGGCACCCTGAGGAGCCCCTCTCTGTGAGAGCGTTAATTAATTCTATGAATTCCGCTTGCTGCAAGCCAGTTGTGAAGCACATCAGTGGTGAGACAATGATAAATGTAAGCATGACCGCAAAACTAATTTTTTTTTACACTGTCATCACTTAAGTTAAGCGAGTCAGTCGTAAAACAAAGACTTCCTGTAATGCTCACAATGTTAGATGTGCTAATCTCTCTCTCTTCTCTTTCTCTTTGCTTAATTTACGGCAGGTTTGTGAAGGATACGCTCAAATGAAATCGTATGCTACGAATACCACAGGAATCGCCGGCCCCTCAGACAGAAGGACCATCGATTTGAGATTATACATGTTGTGTTTCCTTCCATTTGTAATCCTCTTGGTTTTCATTCGAGATCTTAAGCATCTGTCTGTGTTCTCATTCCTGGCAAATTTAGCCATGGCTGTCAGCTTGATCATTATTTATCATTATGTTATAGAGGTGAGTAGCAATAGCGCTTAGACTTATATACCGCTTCACAGTGCTTTACAGTTTAGTTTAGTTTAGTTTAGTTTAGTTTAGTTTAGTTTAGTTTACTTTACTTTACTTTACTTTACTTTACTTTACTTTACTTTACTTGCAGGGGTGAAATGTAAAATTTGTTACTACTAGTTCTGTGGGCGTGGCTTGGTGGGGGGGTAATGTGACTGGGTGGGCGTGGCCAATTTTTTTTTTAAACTTTTCAAAGCATTTTTTCTAATGCTTTGAAAAGCCTCTGCCAATCAGGCAACTCAGCTGGGATCGTCAGAGACTTTTCAAAGCATTTTTTTTACCACTTCTTCGGCCAAGAGGTTGCAGAAAAAAAATGCTTTGAAAAGCCTCTGACGATCCCAGCTGAGCCGCGTGATCATCAGAGGCTTTTTTTTTTTTACTTTTAAAAGAATTTTTTCGTCGGAAGAGGTTGTAGAAAAAATGCTTTTAAAAGTAAAAAAAAAATGCCTCTGATGATCGTGCGGCTCAGCTGGGCATGGGGGGAGGGACGCACAGGGATTTTTGCTACTGGTTCTCTGAACCACCCGCCGCCATCACTACCGGATCGGGCGATCCGGTCCGAACCGGGAGCATTTCACCCCTGCTTTAATGTCATTGCACCGCATACAACGCAATTAATTGCCATCTTCAGTGTGCATTATATATAAAAAATACAGCAAAAACACACATCCTTCACATTCTATACAATTGAATTGAAAACCCCCTGATATACCCCTTTATATACCGCTTCACAGTGCTTTACAGCCCACTCTAAGCGGTTTACAGAGTCAGCCTATTGCCCCCAACAATCTGGGTTCTCATTTTACCCACCTCGGAAGGATGGAAGGCTGAGTCAACCTTGAGCTGGTCAGAATCGAACTCCTGGAGTGAGTCGGAAATATTTCTCCCCTGTTTCATTTTTCAGTGTCACATTTGGTTGAGTTCTGCCCTGATCCTTTCTAATGTGAATTTGGCCCTGTGTTTCTGTACCTTCACGCAAGCTCCAAGGGTGGTTGAAACTATCTCACTGGAGAAGAAAACAAGGATAAACAACTCCCGTATAGGTAGTCCTCGATTTACGACCACAATTGAGCCCAAAATTTATGTTGCTAAGTGAGACGTCTGTTAAGTGAATTACGGTTGTTCAATGAATCACTGCAGTTGTTAAATTAGTAACCCCATTGTAAAGTGAATCTGGCTTTCCCATTGACTTTGATTGTCAGAAGGTTGCAAAAAGGGGAATCACATGACCCTGAGACACTGCTCCGGTTACAAATGTGAGTCTTCTCCCAAGCATTTGAGTTTTGATCATATGACCATGGGGATATTGCAATGGTTGTAGGTGTGAAAAGCGGTCATAAGTCACTTTGATCAGTGCTGTTGTAACTTTGAACAGTCACTAAAGGAACTGTTGTAAGTCGAGGACTACCTTTATGGAATTTTTAAAGGAAACTGATTTGAGTCTTTCTGATTTAGTGGCCGCAAGAGCAGAATTTTCCCCCCAAAGAAAACAACTTGACTCTGACCTTGAAATCATGAGGAATTGAGATAGGCTTGATCATATCTCATTCTACCCACTGATGATTGCCTAGAATATCACTTTTGATAATTGTAAAAAATGAGATATGCTACTAATATCAATCAACCAATCAATCAATCAGAATAGAGCTGGAAGGGACCTTGGAGGTCTTCTAGTCCAACCCCCTGCTCAAACAGGAGACTCTATCACTTCAGACAAGTGACTGTCCAGTCTCTTAAAACCTCCAGTGATGAAGTACCCACAACTTCTGGAGGCAAACCATTCCACTGATTAATCGTCCTCACTGTCAGGAAGTTTATAATCATCTCCTTTTAATGACAACGTAATCCCTTGCGGGGTGGAGTCTGGGCACCTGAACCGAGCTGAGTGTTTACTGGCCGGATGTCCTTCCTGTCACCAATGCGGAGTTATATTCAGCAGATATATTCTCAACGTGCCCAGAGAGAGAAATATCTGCCTCTACCTAGGATCGAACTCACAATCTCCTGATTGTGAGGCGAGGGCTCCACCTCTAAGCCACCACACCACTCATCAGGAAGTTTATAATGAATGAAGAATATCCTTCATTGGATATGATTTTGGTCATGTCGGTAGGCATTAGGTGGCCTAACTTGGCTTCTTTGGGGGAAAAAAACCTCCTGCTCTTGAAACTGAATTGGTTTAGCTACAGATCGCCACTCTTTGATTTCTCTTCCCAGGGTTTATCTGAACCTCGAAAACTGATCATGGTGACTGGTTGGAACAAGTACCCCCTTTTCTTTGGCACAGCTATTTTTGCATTTGAAGGAATAGGAGTGGTGAGTATTTACGTTGGGGTTAAGAACTTGCTGAAGTCCTCTCAAATTCAAACATGTTTTTCTTTTCCCTTTATTGCTGTACTCTGCAATAAAAGTACAGTGTTTCCCCGAAAATAAGACCGGGTCTTATATTAATTTTTGCTCCAAAAGACACATTAGGGCTTATTTTCTGGTTAGGTCTTATTTTGGGGAAAATACGGTACTAAATGCACCCATCTGGTTGACAATCTTAACTGGGGCTTATTTTGGGGGTAGGGCTTATATTATGAGCATCCTGAAAAATCATGCTGGGACTCATTTTCCGGTTAGGTCTTATTTTCGGGGAAACAAGTGTACATGCTATAAATATGTGATTCCCACTTTTAGGGGTATCCCGAGGAAAGTGATTAGGAAGCCATGTCTCTTATGTCATGCGTGAAGGGTGGAAAAAAGTTGAAGTGGGTGTGTTGTGCACAAAGGTTGTGTGTGTGTGAGAGAGAGAATAGAATGTCACGCCTTGCACTCTCCAGGGGCATTCATGAAAAATGATGAAAAAAAGTTTGAGATGGTAGCCGCAGCAATAAGATTAAAGCTCTAGGGGTTTTTTTGACATGTTTTGTGAGAATGAGCGGATAGAAATCTCTGCAACTTGCAGCCAAGAGTCAAAATCATCATGGACTGTCTTAAGCAGTAGATGATGATCCAATCATTGCAAAAATTGCCGCTATTTATATGTTAGAAGTTTCATGGTTAGCTTGATTGCGTTTATTTTTAATTTCATTACTGTAAATTGAGTTTATTTGAGCAACCGTAAATATTTGCGGAAGCAAATTGATGAAATAAAGAGAAGTTGTGTTTTTGCGTATAAATCATAGGCAACACTTTTTTCTTCGACTTTAGCTTGGGACATACAACCCGGTTTATGCAGCAGCGACTGCAAATTTTGCTTCAGGAACACAGGAACATATGGAAGGGCAAGTTGGATCTGTAAACTTTGACTTTGTTTATGGAGATTCTCAGTCATCCAGGTCATGGTTGTCCCAAATGTATTTTTTTTTTCAAGAGGCAACTGGACTTTCTGGTTTTTCTTTGAAAACTTATTATTTATTTATTTATTTATTTATTTATTTATTTATTTATTTATTTATTTATTTATTTATTTATTTATTTATTTATTTTCTATACTGCCCTTCTCCCGAAGGACTCAGGGTGGTGTACAGCCTGATTAAAAGCACAAAGACAGACAACATTTAAAAATTATTAAAATTATTAAATAATAGGCTCAATTATAAAACCCCAAATTTAAAATCCCATATTTAAAACCAATTTAAAACCAATTAAAATCTTTACATTGATAGCCTGGCCTGGCGGAACAACAAGGTTTTGAGGGCACAGTGAAATACACGGAGATCAGAGATCTTACAAATTTCTTGGGGCAGTTCATTCCACAGGGCTGGGGCTCCCACAGAGAAGGCCCTCCCCCTGGGTGTCGCCAGCCGACATAACTTGGCTGATGGCACCCTGAGGAGACCCTCTCTGTAGGAACGGACTGGCTGGTGGGAGGCTACTGGTGGCAGAAGATGGTCTCGAAGGTATCCAGGTCCAATGCCATGGAGTGCTTTAAAGGTGGTAATCAACACCTTGAATTGCACCCGGAAGACCACTGGGAGCCAGTGCAGCTCGCGCAGGAGGGGTGTCACGTGGGCACAACGAGTTGTGCCCATAACCACCCGCACGGCCGCATTCTGGACCAGTTGGAGCCTCCGAGTGCTCTTCAAGGGGAGCCCCATGTAGAGAGTATTACAATAGTCCAGCTGGGAGCTGACAAGGGCGTGAGTGACCGTGCGCAAGGCGTCCCGGTCCAGAAAGGGCTGCAACTGGCGAATCAGGCAAACCTGATAAAAAGCCCCCCTGGCCACGGCCGTCATCTTCTAAAGACAGCCGTGTGTCCAGGAGGACGCCCAGATTGCGAGCCCTCTCTGTGGGGGGGTAAAGACTCACCCCCAATAGTTAGCGATGGCACCAGCTGACTATATCGGGACGCCGGGAACCACAGCAACTCGGTCTTGGAGGGGTTGAGTCTGAGCCTATTTCTCCCCATCCAGACCCGCACGGCCTCCAGGCAGCGAGACATCACATCAAGGGCATCGTTTCACTTCTCATCCAAGAAGCCTCTTAACCTCTGACTGGATGGTGGGTAAACGGAAGGATTTATACCCCTTGCAGACAGCTGGTCATTTTTGCATCCTTTTAGGGAGTTGTTGAGGCCACCTGCAGGTTTATCTGCATCCTCAGGGTCACCTGAGCCTTCTTGGAATTATTGAAAGGACTGTGTTGTAGACTGAAGATAGACAGTCCTTTCTGTCTTACAACGCAGTCCTTTCAACAGTTCCAAGAAGATTCCACACCCATTTGCACTACTCAGGTGATCCTGACGACACAGATAAACCTCCAGGTGGCCTCAACAACTCTCTAAAATAATGCAAATGACCAGCTGTCTGCAAGGAATATAAATCCTTCCATTCCCATCCATCCAGTCAGAGCTGGAGAAACTTCTTGGATGAGAAGTGAAACGTCTTCAAAGAAAAACCAGAAAGTCCAGTTGCCTCTTGAAAAAAGCACCAGAGAGACTTTGACTTGGTCCTTACTCAAAGAGGTGGATTTTCAGCTTTGTGGCCTTTTAGGTTGACTTTACAACATTTTTTTCCCTTTCCTATTTGGGCCATATTCCTATTGTTTCTTGAACAAGTGGGTGACGTTGTAATGGCTGGAGGCCATTTCATAGCTGAACTTTGGCCTACAAAATGGACAAAGACAACTAGCGCATGCGATAAACAGTTGTCTTTTGTGTCCCTATGTGTATATATTTTTAAAACTCTTAATACACCTCCTGGAGTAACATTATGAGACCTGCTGGCACAGTGGTTTTAAACTGCAGTATTGCAGGCAAACTCTGCCCACAGCCTGGAGTTCGATCCCATCAAGGTTAACTCAGCCTTCTATCCTACAGCATAGAAAGTGGGGAAATTTATTTATACAGGATTGATAATCCAGCAAGTGCTTTCTCTGCAGCTCCTCTTTGTTGTCCTCTGTCATCTCCCTCAAGGTTCTTCTCAAATCCCATCAAACCTTTTTTTTCTTCAGAACTCCTTTAGGCCTAGCAAGTACCGAGTCTGCGGGAAATTATGGAATGGCGGTTTTATTCACGGAGGCTGGTGTTTTTCCTTCAGCACAAATTCATTGGGAGCCATTGACCATTGACGAGCTGATGCTTACGTGAGATTGTTCTCGCGTTTGAAGAGGTTCAGAATTGTTCAGCTGGTACAATGACATGCGGGAATTGGCTGTAACAGTGCAATTTCACACTGCGGCTCTCCAAAAATTAATATAATTTAATACGTTCGGTTCTTAAAACTAAAGCGTTTGCTTATTTGGTGGGTTTTCCTCCTAGGGTTTGGACCCCGTTTAGAGAAAGTGCTAGTCTGAATTTAAAATTTGCCTTCAAGAAACTGTCTTAATCCTGTATAGAGGTTTTGGACAGCCTTTTTAGGCAGGTTTAGGGTTAACCCTGGCATCTTTTCAGTGTCATCATTAGGTACCCTGTTTCCTCCAAAATAAGACATCCCCTGATAATAAGCCCAATTGGGCTTTTGAGCGCATGGCAATAAGGCCAAGCACTTATTTTAGGGTTCAAAAAAATATAAGACAGAGTCTTATTTTCGGGAAAACACAGTAGTTCCCCACTTACGACCACAACTGACCGCAAGTTTTCCTTTGCCAAACAAAACAGAATTTTGCCCCATTTTACAATCTTTTTTCCCATAGTTGTTAAGTGAATCACTGCAGTTATTAAATGAATCATGCAAATCTGGCCTCCCCCATTGACTTTGTTGAAAGCTGGCTGTCTTCATTTTTCACAATCTCTTTGGCTGTGGGGGGTTAATCAATTGCTATTAATCTGTAGCTCCAAGCCCTCAATATAGCACTGACACTGTAGTCAGTTGGCTCGGAGGTCTAGGATACTTTGGAAATAAAGGTAAAAGGTAAAGATTTTCCTGTCCAGTCATGTCCGGAGTCCTTGGTGTGGTGCTCATCTCTGTTTCTTGGCTAAGGGAGCCAGCATTGTCTGAAGATGCTTCCATGGTCATGTAGCCAGAATGGCTACCGTACTTTTCGGAGTATAAGATGCACTGCCCCCCCTAAAAGTGGGTGAAAATTGTGGTGTGTTTTATACACTGAATGTTGCTGAAGCCCTGCCCACCCGCCGGCCCCCACCCGCTGGCCATTTTCAGCCGCCATGTGTTCCGTTTTTGGCCTCCACATGCCCCATTTTAGACACATTCCAGATTGCAGGGATCACCACAGCACATCGCTATCAATTGCCACCTCTGCGTGTTCCGTTTCTGGCCTCTGCATCCCCCGTCTTTGGCCTCCTTGCATTGCATTTTCAGCCGGTTCCAGGCGGGGATCAGCGGTGGCGGCAGTGATCCCCACCGCCTGGAATCGGCCGAAAATGAGACGTGTGGAGGCCAAAAATGGGGCGTGTGGAGGCCGAAAATGAGATGCGTGGAGGCCAAAAACACGACACGCAGAGGTGGCAATGTGGTGTGGCGATCCCCACAGCCTGGAACGGGTCTAAAATGGAGTATGCGAAGGCCAAAAATGCAATGCATGGAGGCTAAAAACTCAACGTATGGAGGTGGCGATGGACTCTGGCAATCCCCACAGCCTGGAACAGCTGATTGGTGCTATTCCGGGAGGCCGATCCAACCACCAATCAGCTGTTCATGCTAAATCAGGCTGCGATAACGTGCTGAAGCTAACCAGGCTGTTTGCTGTTTGCTGCAAGGACGCTAGCCAGATGAATACCGATGGATGCTGGTAGGCAGAGGCAGATTTTTTTTTCTTGTTTTCCTCCCCAAAAACTAATGTGCGTCTTATACTCCGGAGTGTCTTATACTCCAAAAAAGGCATACGGAACGTTTTTATCTTCCCACTGAAGTGGTACCTATTAATCTATTCACATTTGCATCCTTTCAAACTGCCAGATGGGCAGGAGCTGTGGCAAGAAACGGAAGCTCACTCCATTGCACGATGCTCAGGGTTCAAACCTGGGCTGTCAGCTTTCCCTCTGATAAGCTCAGCATCTTTAACCACTGAGCCATTGTACCCCTCTACTTTGGAAGTCGCTTACATAATTCTCATACACTCAGGTTGTATTATAATTGTAATTTTTTCCAACTTGTGCAGCTGCTGAGTGGGGAAAAAAAGCTGATTTTAATTATTCGGGAAACTTTTAGGATGAAACTATTCAGACGTGAAACTCCTCTTTGAGCATTTCAGTAGCAAGGCAGGCAGCATATAAATTTAATCAATAAATAAATTAAAATGTCTTATCCTCGTCTTATATATCTGCATCCTCTCTTTTTCAGGTGCTCCCCATCCAGAATAGGATGAAAGAAGTTGACCGCTTCCCAGTGGCACTCAACGTTGGCATGGGAATTGTGATGGCCTTGTATATTTCATTAGCCACCCTGGGATACGTACGCTTTGGGGACGAAATCAAAGCCAGCATTACTCTCAACCTGCCACAAGATCAATGGTCAGTCGAAGCATGTTAAGACTTGATTCTTTTAGCATCCTTGTAATTACAGAGTATTTTCCATAATCGGTGTGAGTATTCCCAGTAACATCTATCAGCCCATTAGAGCGGGGAGGCAGGATATGTTACAGGTCTCCTCCATGAAGGAGGTCCATGGGATGGGACCAAGAAGAAAGGCCTTCTCTCCCCATGGAACATAATTCCTGGGGAGATAGGATTAGCCTCCACCGTGATATTATTTCGACAGGCCCTGAAGACTTGGCTTTGTCAGCAGGGCTGGTGACCACAGGGTGATACGGAGCACTTCAAGTTGTTCGTCTGATTGTTGCCACCAGGGGTGTGTGTGTGTGTGGGGTGGGGGGGGTTATTGGGTGTTGTATTTGAGGTTTTATTTCTATAAGCCACCTGGAGTCACTGTGAGTTGGCTGGGTGCCCATATACATTATGATAAGTTATAGTAGGATAGGGTAGAGTGAGGTGGAATAAGGTAGGATAAGGTAAGGTAAAGTAAGGCACGATAAGATAAGATGAGATGATGTGAGAAGAGAAGATGCGAGGGGAGGGGAGGGGAGGAGGAAGATGAGAGGAGAGAAGAGGAAGATGGGAGGAGAGAAGAGGGGAGGGGAGGAGGAAGACGAGAAGAGAGAAGAGGAAGATGAGAGGAGAGAAGAGGGGAGGGGAGGAGGAAGATGAGAGGAGAGAAGAGGAAGATGAGAGGAGAGAAGAGGGGAGGGGAGGAGAAGAGAAGAGGAAGAGAGGAGGGGAGGAGGAGAGGAGAGGATAGGATAGGATTCCAAGCCACAATGTGTTTGGCATAAACCCAGAACAAGACACATTTTTGCCTTTGTGTACAGGTAGTCCTTGGCTTACAACAGTTCACTTAGTGACCATTCAAAGTTACAACGACACTGAAAAAAGTGTGACCATTTTTCATGGTTACAACCTTTGTAGCATGGTCCCCATGGTCATGTGATCAAACGTCAGATGCTTGGCAACTAGTTCATATTTATGACCATTGCTGTGTCCTAGGGTCCTTACTTACGACCGTTGCTGTGTCCCAGGGTTCTTACTTACGACTGTTGTTGTGTCCCGTGGTCATATGCTGTGTCCCAGGGTTCTTACTTATGACCGTTGCTGTGTCCCGGTGTCAAAAAGTGACTTATGACCATTTTTCATACTTACGATTGTTGCAGCATCTCCAGGGTTACATGATCCAAAATCAGATGCTTGGCAACTGTTTCAAATTTATGACGGTTGCAGTGTCCCAGGGGTCATGTAATCCCCTTGTGCGGCCTTCCAACAAGCAAAGTCAGTGGGGAAGCCAGATTCACTTAACAACTGTGCCACTAACTTAATGTCAACTCGCAAAGCATCCCTGACCTGCTCTCGAGTTGCCATAGGCAAGGGGTATGGGAAAATGGCAAAGCAGCACAACAGCCAAAAACAAAAACACATTCCAGACATTTCTGTCTCAAGGCTGTCTCCCAGGGTTACCCACAGTGGCTGGAGAGGAGTGATCTCTACAACCCGTGAAATTGCTCCATTGGCGAATATGACTGACTCGAGGCTCATGATTTAATTAGGGCATCCGTCGGAACCCTGACACTTAACAAGTGCAGTGATTCAGTTAACAACTCTGGCAAGAAAGGTCGTAAAATGGGGCGAAACTCACTTAACAAATTTCTCACTTTCCAAAATAAAGTTTGGGCTCAATTGTGGTCGTACGTCGAGGAGTATGGTGAACTGAAGGAGCAAATTATTTGACAGTTCACAAAATACAATTTGCAGCGGTTCCTTTTCTTCGTAGCAGACTGTCTTCGTAATTCATAGGTTTTGTTCAATTATTCACAGGCTGTACCAAATGGTCAAGATCCTTTATTCCTTTGGGATTTTTGTGACCTATTCGATTCAGTTCTACGTTCCAGCGGAGATCATTGTTCCTATTGTAGCAACCAGAGTGCAGCAGAAGCTGAAGTTGATCTCTGAAATGTTTGTGCGAATGCTTCTGGTCTGCTCAACCTGTAAGTACAAAGGGTTAATATGGGGTTGTTTTTTTCCCCAGGTGTGATGTGCAAAACAAAAAAAAAAATCTACTACCGTATATACTCGAGTATAAGTTGATTTTTTCACCACATTTTTTATGCTGAAAAAAGCTGGCTTATACTCGGGTGAGGAAAAAAATGCCTTTTTTCCTGCAATCCGTTTTGGCTTCCAGGGGCTGCAGGGAGGCTTGCTAAGGCCAAAATGGGGCGGGGGGGTGTAGCGCCCCCTCCACGCCCTGTTTTGGCTCCCAGGGACTGCAGGGAGGCTTGCTAAGGCCAAAATGGGGCATGGGGGGTGTGTGCCTAGCAAGACTCCCTGCAGCCCCCTGGAAGCAAAAACAGGCTGGAGGGGGGGGGGCTTCGAGGGAGAAAGAAACAAAGAAATCCTCACTGTTTAGGGCTTTTCTTCCTCCTACCAAGGACCTTCTGGGGTTCTTCACAGAAAGGGAGAAAGGAGAAAGGGAGGGAGAAAGAAAGAAAGAGAGAGAGAGAGAAGAAAGAAAGAGACAAAGAAAGAAAGAGAAAAAAAAAGAAAAGAAAAAGGAAGGGAGAGAGAGAGAGAGCAAATGCAGGTATCTCTTAACAGAGGCTTGAACTTGCCTGAAATTAGATCAAGCCCTACATCACTTAACCCAGTGTATCAGATTAAATTGTTATTGAATTATTTTTGGTATATATACTACATTCTCGTGTGTAATTTAGTTATAGTGTAAAACTAGTCTATTATGTCTCAAAATAAAAGGGAGATCAAAAATCCAATTAGTGCTATGTATATTCTGGAATCCCCAAAGACCTTTCCCATTGTATTTATTAAACAAATTTATATACTGTAGCTACCCAACTCATATACAGTGACTTTATCACTATCGTGTTCCTTTCATGTAGTTCTCAACTCTATTTTCTCCACCAAAATTCTATTATAAATAATATTACCACACATTACAGCTCTAATTTTGTGTATTTGCGCCAGTAATTTTCAGAAAAAGATTTATTCCTCTCTTACATAGTTATTTAGAAGTAGCTTCATATGTCAGTTTACTTTTACCATTAAAAAAATGTTTTGTTGCATTATATGACTGTAAAAGCCTTTTAGCAGTTTCATGTAACCGGAAATATCCAGTAACAATTTTGAAAGTAGTTGTCATAGCCAAAAACATTTAACCTACTGATGCCTCAATTAATGTAATTTTATTGGTATCTATTTTTATTTTGAAATTTACCAGTAGCTGCTGCATTTCCCACCCTGGGCTTATACTCAAGTTTTCCCAGTTTTTTTGTGGTAAAATTAGGTGCCTCTGCTTATATTCGGGTCGGCTTATACTCAAGTATATACGGTAATTTTAGAGCTCAAGTCTCTTCCCTTTCTCTGTATGTGTGAATACACCTAACAAATCAGCCATGTGAACTTGGGCTTCTTGAGCAAGATTCATTAAAGTTTGTCCCAAAGGTGCTTTTTTTTCCAAGTGGCAACTGGACTTTCTGGTTTTTCTTTGAATATGTTTCGCTTCTCATCCAAGAAGCTTCTTCAGCTCTGACTGGATGGTGGGGAACAGAAGGATTTATACTCCTTGCAAACAGCTGGTCATTTGCATTCTTTTCGGGAGTCGTTGAGGCCACCTGGAGGTTTATCTGTGTCCCCAGGGTCACCTGAGTCTTCTTGGAACTATTGAAAGGACTGTGTTATAGACTGAAGATAGACCTTTCTGTCCTACAACATAGTCCTTTCAACAATTCCAAGAAGGTTCCACATCCATTTGCACTACTCAGGTGACTCTAAACCTCCAGGTGGCCTCAACAACCCTCTAAAAGAATGAAAATTCTGTTCTGTTCTATTCTATTCTATTCTATTCTATTCTATTCTATTCTATTCTATTCTATTCTATTCTATTCTATTCTATTCTATTCTATTCCCCTACCCCATCCCTACCCCTATTCCATTCCATTAAGTGTGTTTATAACTTCTGAAACTACCCCAAAGTGTTCCAGAGTTGGACAGTGTAGGAATTCTATCCATAAGCAACATCAACATGCAAGTAAATGCACATGTATTCACATGTCCCTTTCCCTTGCTTTCATTTTCACATTCTGAAGCATAGTCAGAAGTTAATTAAAAAACAGGAGAACCATGTAAACGGGTGTTTAAACGAATGGGTGTTTTGCAGATCAAAATTGGGGGGTGGGTGGGAGGCAAAGGTTTCACAACTAGCTCTCATTCTAAAACCCAAACCTAAATATGTCATGTTAAAAGAAGTTTGTGAGATTTCTTTTTAAAGGTTGAAACCAGTGTAGACAAATTTTATTGCATAAGGGTCATCTAAGGAAAGAGGAAACTACTATAAAATAGTTTGCATCTCTTGCAACTTGGGTAAGCTTCTTAACCACTGAGCCATCATGCTCCCATTAGATTGATATTGATGAGCCGAGGTGGCGCAGTGGTTAGAATGCAGTACTGCAGGCTACTTCTGCTGACTGCCAGCTGCCTGCAATTTGGCAGTTCGATTCTTACCAGGCTCCAGGTTGACTCAGCTTTCCATCCTTCCGAGATGGGTAAAATGAGGACCCAGATTGTTGGGGGCAATAGGCTGACTCTGTAAACCACTTAGAGAGGGCTGTAAAGCACTGTAAAGTGGTATATAAGTCTAAGTGCTATTGCTATTCGTTCCTTTTTTAAAAAATCAGCTCACATGAGGATATATCTTTCTTTTGTCCTTCCTGGAAGAGCAATCCTGTGAAGTTGATTGGAGAGTGTGTGATTAGCCGAGTCACCCAGAAAACCCAGCCTTTGTCTTCAGAGTGGTTTTATAAATTAGGATATCCTGTTCAGCTCTAATAATGTTTTGTTGAGCTATTATGGGCTTTCTACAGAAGCTTTGTGCATAGTTACTATTGCTGCATATCACAATCCACATTCAAGAGGGGTGAAGCTGCGAAAGGAAGGTGCAACAGTACTCTATTCTTGTTGTGGATATTGCTGAGACACAATCTGTTATATGAAGACAGTAAACAATTTGTTAACTTGGGTTTAGAGCAGGGGTGAAATCCAGCAGGTACTGACAGGTTCTGGAGAACCGGTAGCGGTTCTAAGAGCCGAGGTGGCGCAGTGGTTAGAGTGCTGTACTGCAGCTACTTCAGCTGACTGCTAGTTCAGCAGATCAACGGATCAAATCTCACCGGCTTAAGGTTACTCAGCCTTCCATCTTTCCGAGGTGGGTAAAATGAGGACCCAGATTGTTGGGGGGCAATATGCTATTTAGTATACTGTCAATTGTTGTAAGCTGCCCAGAGTCCTCGGAGAGTGGGCGGCATAGAAATATGATTAATAAATAAATAAATAAATAAATAGCGGAAATTTTGAGCAGTTCGGAGAACTGGTAGCGAAAATTTTGAATAGTTCAGAGAACCGGCAAATGCCACCTCTGGCTGGCCCCAGAGTGGGTGGGAATGGACATTTTGCAATATCTTTCCCCCAGGAGTGGCGAGGGAATGGAGATTTTGCAGTATCCTTCCCCTGCCACGCCCACCACTCCACGCCCACCACACCACACCACACCTACCAAGCCACCCACAGAACTGGTAATAAAAAAAATTGGATTTCACCACTGGTTTAGAGATGAACCTGTTAACAAGGAGTCCTCGTGGACAATCACTTAAATAGGAGTCAGCAGTGTGCTGCAGCTGCCAAAAAAGCCAATGCAGACCCAGGCTGCATTAACAGAGGTATGGAATCAAGATCACACAAAGTGTTAATATCATTATATAATGCCTTGGTAAGACCCCACACTTGGAATATTGCATCCAGTTTTGGTCATTACGATATAAAAAAAAGATGTTGAGACTCTAGAAAGAGTGGAGAGAAGAGCAACAAAGATGATTAGGGGAGGCTAAAATTTATGAAGAATGGTTGCAATTGGGTATGTCCAATTTAATGAAAAGAAAGACTAGGGGAGACATGATAGCAGTGTTCCAATATCTCAGGGGCTGCCACAAAGAAGAGGGAATCAAGCTATTCTCCAAAGCACCTGAAGGCAGGACAAGAAGCAATGGGTGGAAACTAATCAAGGAGAGAAGCAACCTAGAACTAAGGAGAAATTTCCTGACAGTTAGAATAATTAATCAGTGGAACAACTTGCCTCCAGAAGTTGTGAATGCTCCAACACTGGAAGTTTTTAAGAAGGGAATGGACACTCTTTTGTCTGAAATGGCATAGGCTTTCCTGTTTGAGCAGGGGGTTGGACTAGAGGACCTCCAAGGGATCCCTCCCAACTCTGTTATTCTGTTCTGTTAAGTCTGCTCATCTGGCTATTCACTAAGTATGATGATTCTCCTTTCATTGCTGAAACTAAAAACCACAATGGCTGTAGAACAGAAGCGAAAATAGGGAAGAAATCTTTACGATTAGTTTGCAGACTACTGAAGACGAAGGGATCACTGTGAACCTCAGTTTGAAGAAGACGTTTCTTATGTGTCCTTGGACTAAGTATCATTTAATTATTTGTCTTTTGGATCTACTTTTTTTCTTTTTTTTCTTTTTTCTTTTTTTTTTATTGAAAAAGTTTTACAAATACATTTTCTCCCCAATTCCCCCCCCCCAACCCCCGTAGCCCTCCCCTCCCCCCAGGACTTCCACAAAATATAATCCAAATCAAAATCACATTTTATAAAACTTGAACCCCTCCACCCCCTGTATATTTTTCACATCTTCACAAAATTCAATTATTCTATCCCTATATAATACTTTCAGTTAAAAGCTATCTGATATTTCCTAGTTTGATATTTATTCTGCATATAGTCTATCCACTTTTTCCACTCCCATACATAAGTCTCTTGTGTCCAATCTTTTAAATATGCTGAAATCTTCGCCATCTCTGCAAAACTAGCCATCTTCAAAGTCCATTCTTCAATAGTGGGCATAGCTTCATTTTTCCAATATTGACCTATCAGTAATCTCGCTGCTGTTATCATATACAATATCAGCTTTA